AAAGATATTTTCGATAGTACTTCTTTTGTAGATTATGGAGCGCTAGAAAGTAGCCGCACACTCCTTTTCAAAGGAGTTAGAAGGGCTGGTGAATTCTGAAAAAATCATGTCCTTCTAAATTTTTCTCAACGTAACTCTAAAATATGAAGCTCTCTTGCTAAGCAGATGTGATTTTCGTAACTAGCAGGTCGGATAACCCTTAAGTGCAAGTTTTCCAAGATGTTCAAGTAATTTCATTTTTTCTCGTTTTACGCTCTGAAGCTGGCCGATGGATTTTGGTCAAAATGTTCATGCTCTTAAATTGTAAGGAAACTTCGCTTATAGAGGTTCTCGAACACGCTCTTTACGAAAATCGTGGTCTCTGAGGATTACAGGGTCTTTTTGGTGAGATACGGTGAGGTGACTGTAACTGCATCACGAAAGTGCGTAAATTGGCCCGCACTTCTCGCGTATCTGTCAGCAACCTTGCCTGCTTGCTTTTCTCAGTCAAAGTTACTAGAAACTGCGCTACCGAATGGTGCTTGAATCAGGCTCCAGTCTGTAAAAATCACCGAGGTACGAGCCTATGAAAACACGTCCTCATGAATTTTGCCCAAAATCTAAAGATCGCAAATCTCGTCGAAATTCCACCGTGAGCGCTTGTATGACACTCGCATTGCGGATATTGTGTTCGCTTCGCCCAAAAACTCCCACTGTATTGAATATGGTACTTGCATATGCTTCAGCTGCTCAGTTGAATATCAGAGCTATTTCAGTGGCTAGAACTCAAACTACTAAATCTAACACAATAAGATCCATTAAGGACGCGAAAGATTTTGATCAGCGTGTTGTACAAGCGCTCACGGTGGAATTTCGACGAGATTTGCGATCTTTAGATTTTGGGCAAAATTCATGAGGACGTGTTTTCATAGGCTCGTAACTCGGTGATTTTTACAGACTGGAGCCTGAAACCAAGCACCATTCGGTAGCGCAGTTTCTAGTAACTTTGACTGAGAAAAGCAAGCAGGCAAGGTTGCTGACAGATACGCGAGAAGTGCGGGCCAATTTACGCACTTTCGTGATGCAGTTACAGTCACCTCACCGTATCTCACCAAAAAGACCCTGTAATCCTCAGAGACCACGATTTTCGTAAAGAGCGTGTTCGAGAACCTCTATAAGCGAATTTTCCTTACAATTTAAGAGCATGAACATTTTGACCAAAATCCATCGGCCAGCTTCAGAGCGTAAAACGAGAAAAAATGAAATTACTTGAACATCTTGGAAAACTTGCACTTAAGGGTTATCCGACCTGCTGGTTACGAAAATCACATCTGCTTAGCAAGAGAGCTTCATATTTTAGAGTTACGTTGAGAAAAATTTAGAAGGACATGATTTTTTCAGAATTCACCAGCCCTTCTAACTCCTTTGAAAAGGAGTGTGCGGCTACTTTCTAGCGCTCCATAATCTACAAAAGAAGTACTATCGAAAATATCTTTCTGAATGGGAGCAATACGCGCTGCTTCACACCTTTGCGAAAAGACGTCCGCAGAAAGTTTTGGGAATACTGAAATCGAGATATCAAGGACATTCTGCATACCGAAAGATTTGCCTTGATGAGCTGAGCACAATGCATTTTTCGGATTCAGAAAATATCCACTCCAAAGAAAGTTACGGCGAGTAGAATCTGGAAACGAGTGATTTTTCCAGAATTTACCAACGCTTTTTTCTCTTTTGAAAAGAAGTCTGCGGCAGCTTACTAGCGCACTATAATGCACAAGAAGAGCACTATCGAATGGTGCTTACTGGAAGCTTTCAAGTTGGATAGGCGCTGCGTTACATACTTGCAAAGGGACCTCCTCAGAACAATTTGAGAAAACTGAAAACAAGATATAGATGACATGACGTATGTAGAAAGATTCGCCTTGACGAGATGAACACAGTGCTGCCTTCGAATTTAGAATATATTAATTCCGAAGGAAGTTATGGCGCTGCATAATTTGCGATAATCCGGAATCGCGAAATTTCTGGAATTTCGCGCAATTACCGTTCTGTGAGTGGTATTGTACATTGCACAGCACGCGCGGCATTCCGCGATATGTGCTTCTCATGCGATTTCCAACCATTTCCCTTTGTCTTCCTGCATTTTGGGACCCGTCATACTTCGCCGAGAAAAGCCCACTTTCACACATATCCATGCAGAATGAGCTGCCCAGTTTCACATATATCCATGCAGAATGAGCTCTTAAACTATACCTGCCCTATTTCTGCTGTGCTCAATAGAATGTGTACGTAGCCTCTGGAATAAGCACACTGAATGGTCCATTTACACTAAAATTCCAGGAAAGAAACTTATATCCCACAACTAGGCACATCCGTATATTGGAAGATGCGCCTCGCCGAGCTGAGTTGAATGGTACTCTTATATATAGAATTCATAAATTTTGAATCAAGATAAGGTCTTTTTTTATAAAAAGTTAGGCGTTGCGCGACAAAGTTAGGTGACTTTTGCCGCTTTTCCGCTGACTTTTGCCGCGCGACGCGGCAAAAGTCACCTAACTTCGGCGGCGCCGCGTAAGTTAAGTGCCGCCGCCATTTTTTTTTCACAAATTACGGGTGGTATTGTATGTGGCTGATAAACTAACAAAGCGGTAATTTTTATATCTGCTGCTAGCAGATACTTAAGAACCCATATGATTTTTTCATTCAAACCTTCATGCAGAAATCTATAAGCTTTTCTACAGTTATGACAATGTCATGTCGTATGTTCGAATGCATGTTTGAAGCAAATCTTATAATTTTCGCATAGATGAATTACTCGACGTGCTAACAATATTTTTCAAATTATTTGCTGATGATTGCACAGTGTAGGATAAAATATCTGCCAAATCATACGACTTTCGAGATGAGAGACAAACAATACATGAGAAGGCGATTATGTAACATCATAATTTGACAAACAATGTAGATAAAGATCTGCGCCAAGCATGGTCCGGTAGAGCTGTTCACACAATATTGGTTCACACAGTCTCAAACTCACAAAAATTTGCAGACAATTTCAGCGATAGATAGGCGAGAAGCGCAGGCGAAGTTGCGATCTTGATGGGTTCAAATACTGCGACTTTAGCTTTACTGTAAAACTCTCTAGTGCAAAATAACTAGGATTTTCGTAAAGATCGGGACCAAAAACCAATATGAGCGAAGTTTCCGGTCAATCCGAGAACCTCAATATTAGTCAAGAATGAGGAGCGAAAAAAACCACATGCTACTAGTTTCTTAGAAAATTGAATTATAGATGTTATCTCACCCGTTGATTGAAAAAAGACATCTGATTCACAAGATAGTTCTTTCTGTAAGACTACGGTGGATAGATTTTAGAAAAATGTGGATTCCTTTGAAATTTGCCAGCCATTTTCGCTTTCACTCATATGATTTTTTGCGTTTTGTTTAACGTTTGAAAAACTTGGAAAGGTGGTTTATCGAATGATGTCAACCAAAGATTGTGTTGTCAGTATTGTTTTGCCAACTCAAGGTTTCGGTGAAGCTCTTTATTACTTCAGTGGCCTGACGATTCGATTACTATCTTCTTCATAAGCCAATATTGTACACTTAATTTCGTAGTCTTCGCCGCAATGGTACTCATGTTTATGTTTCCCAAGAAGCGAGACTAGATTACCTTTTCGTTTATTGGCAAGATGTTCTCTAACTCTCACGCCAAGTGCTCTTCCGGTTTCTCCTAAATAGCTAGCTCCACAAACTAAACATTCTATCTGATATATTATATTACTCCCGTCTTCGCGCAGACACCAATGCTGCTATATGGACAAATAACGCACTCTTTCGAGATACAATATTTGTCATAGAGTCTGTTTGGTACAAGCCGTTTCTTTAAATTATCGTTTGGAACATTTACTAAAATGATATCGTCGCTTAGTTGCGCTCGTTTAATACTCTGCCGTAGTGCAACACAGATTTCATCTAAGACAAAAGGAAGACAGAGCGCTATTTTGTTGTTATGTTGAGCGGTATTATGTGAGGAATATGGTCTACCACGAGCATGATGCATCAGATAGCCATTATTCCTCGCGATGCTCAGTGCAACATTTTGCGACTCTTTCTGCTCTTGTTCTCCCGTACACACTTGTTGCCGTTCTAAACATATTTCGGATAACGGCATTCTTGACAGCTGATGGATGTGCCGAACGAGCATGTAATAAGATGTTTTTGGAGCTATTTTTACGATACCATTTAACATGTGTGTTGCAGCCAGACAGTTTGATTTGAACGTTCAAGTACGGAAGCCAACCATCAACCGGCTGTTCGCGCGTGAATCTTATGTACTGCGACTGCTGATTGAGCAATCGGAAACACTCGCCCATTTCGGACTGAGTGGATGTTACAATGCAGCAGTCGTCTATGTAGCGACAGCGGACATAAGTGGAAGTCTTGACAGCACGGGTTGTTCGATCCTGCTCATGAAACATATTGCAAGAACTGGAGCAAGCCGTTGTCCCATTGCAAGTCCTCTTACTTGAGCGAAGTAGGTGCCTGACCATCTAAAGATATTACAATTCAAACATTCTCGGATCAGGACCATGATGTGATGCTTGCTCAATCCAAAGGTTTGAATGCTCGCACTAAATTCATCCATCATTTCGGATACCGCTTGTAAAGCGCCTTCATTTTGAACGTTAGTATACGTTAGTATAGAAAGCCTTTTCCTGAAAAGCAGCTGGCCTCCACGAAAGCTTTCTTAAAAGACTCAAGTTCCCTGATCACGAGTAATAACGAATTAAGTTTGAAAATAACTGTGTGCAAAGCTAACTCCTTCCCCTACTTTTCCTTGCTCTCTGTCAAATATTCACAGTAATCACTTTTTCGTAGCTCCCTCTTCTCTGAAAGCATATTTGACAATTTAGCATTTTTTTAGAAATCTCAATAAAACCTGCTCAATTCTTAACGGTCCACCGCTTGGGATAAGAAATTATTTTTTCAATGCTTTCGTCTTTATCGATAAATCTCAAATGAGCTCGCTCTGGTTCGTACTGGTTGTAAACAATAACCTCAGTTTTTCGTAAACTAGCTCTTGTAAGTAGCGAAAATTCATGTTTATACTTTCAAAGGTTTATATATAGATTCATCTATCTGGGAGAAGCTCAAGAGCGCTTGGCAACTACAACCATACTCTAGTGAGTGACTTTATTTCATGAATCAATCATTTTCACTTTAGATTAATGCGGGAGTTTGTTCACTGTTTTTCAGAATTACAGACCTACTCATGAATTTTCACGTGGCTTGCACAAGAAGCAACTTCAACCGCTTCCTTGCTTTTTATACTATATTAATTTTTGCGAATGCGTTTCTTTTGCATTTCTCTGATTGGAATTTATTCTATGCAAAAAAGACACCTAGAAAATATGTTGGATACCACTTGGGCTGGGGTCGCCTTGGAAATCAGGTAAAATATTTCAATTTTAATACAATTTGAATGCATCGATAATGTCTTCTCTCAGAAAAAAAAGTGTTTCATTTGATTCAAATTATTCGAATCATTAACCAATCCTTTAACGTATCGGACTGCTTCAAATCTATCTATTTTTATACTATTCTTTCTCACGGCTTATTTGGGAGAAAGGGCATTTTTCATGAACATTACCTATACAATCTACAAGCTCTTTTCTTTTTTCCTATTGCAAACTTCATTTTCACAAAGCTGTGTTCATTTTTTCATATTTATTTTAATATTCGCTAAAAAATTCAAAAAGTGCATTTTCTGCCAGATCAATTTGATCCTCTCAAATTTTTTGAATAATTTATGCACTGCTTAATCGGATCTTGACTATAGCGAGCAGTGCTCGTGCGATTCTGCTATATTCCAGATCAAGTTGTGGTCTTTCAAATCAGAAGTTCTTAGAAGAAGATGGTTGGCTTTTTTTGAACTTTTCGCGGGAACCTTTCGCGCTGTTGCTGCAATTTTTTGAGTATGCTTAGATTTGCCAAAGAGTTGTAAATTGTAACACGATTTATTGCACTTCTAATGAATTCTTCCCGAAAAGAGTGAGTCAATCCAAAAACGGATAAAACTTTCAAAACAAACATTTTGTGATGCTATCGAAGTTATCGAATAATGATGGAGCTTTTAGTGTAGATGTAAGTACTATAGAAATGGCGTTCTAGCAAAGAGTGAAAGTGCTGGCGCATGTGAAGCTTTCGTTAATAGTTGCCAATTGCAATCCGATTAAATGCGTCAACAGTGAATTTATACCAAGTGGGTAGCAGTGACGGATACGACTACAACGCAGACCTATGTTGCACTTTAAGACTGTAGCCCGTAGTAAACCCCTGTTCGGCGCAACTTGGCTGGGGGCGGGCTTACGGTGAACCGGTGAACCTAAGACGCCTCAGTCCAGTGAGCTATTGATCAGGATGCGGATCGCTTTTGGCCTAAAGATCTTGTGCGTTCTCAAAAAGGAAGCACCTGAGCGGGATTGGTTGAAAGGCTAGCAGTAAACGATACTCGGTGTCCGGGCCTTTTGAGATGAGATGTATACCATTACACTCATCTTGAAACGCTGATTTCTGACTTCCGTTTTTGTTAATTGCTTCTTTGAAAAAAGTTAAGAAGGATTTTCGTGCCAAGTTTGGCCGCCCAAGCAAAATACGATCGGAACGGCAATGTTGCCGGTAGGCTGTGCTGTAGTGTTTAGTGCGATAGCCCCACAAAATGATGTTAGTGTAGGTTTGGACCATTTTGCGTTTTTTTTAATTCTTGCATTGCTTGAGTTGCCCTAACGTCCATTTTTATATTAGGTTGGCTCGAAAGTTCTGGGACATTTTTAGACGAGATCTGCTATTCTCGAAACTCAATGCATTTACATCTGACAAAGGTACCATTCGATGGAGCAAAGCAAGCCCTACAAGAAGGTATGCAAAAGTTCGCAGCAGCTTCGACCCAGCGTAAGTTTGCATCCAGAATCTGTGTAGTACTGAAGGCTCAAAAATTGGGAAAAATTCATATCTTCGTTCATATAAATCCTACGAATCTCCAAGTTGCTCATGCAGATTGCATGCCATATTAGACACTCCTACGTACCGTTGCTGTTTCTTCCTCATCTAGAAACTGAGAAAACGTAAATTGTCAGGTTAATACAAAAACGAAGCTACGCTGTTCCCTCTCATGTGATTATATAGTACAAGCCCTTAAAAGTATAACCGCAAATTTTCAGCTTTCTACGAGCCCTAGTTTTCGAAAAATATTGATTTTAGCATAAAACACCCGAGTGAGGAGAGTTTAATTCGGTAATTTTCGGAAACTAAGGCCTGTAGAAAGCTGAGAATTTACGGTTATACTTCTAAGGGCTTGTAGCATGCAATTACATGAGCGGAAACAACGTCGCTTCGTTTTTGTAAGAACATGAAAATTTACGTTCTCTCAATTTCTAGACAAGGAAGAAATACAGCAATGATACAAAGAGATTTCTGATATGGTGTGTAACCTGCATGAGCAACTTGGAAATAGGTAGGATTTACTTGAACGAAGATATGAAATTTTCCCGATTTTCGAGCCTTTAATACTACTCAGATTCTGAATGCAAACTTACGCTGGGTCGAAGCTGATACAAACTTTTGCATACCTTCCTGTAGCGCTTGCTTTACTCTATGGAATGGTACCTCTGTTGGATGTACAAGCTTAAGTTTCGAGAAACAGCAGATCTCGTCTAAAAATGTCCCAGAACTTTCGAGCCAACCTAATATGAGTGTCTCCTATATTTATTTCAAAAAGTAGAATATAGATTGAAAATGAATGAAGATGAACAAAAATAATTTGAGTAAATTCATTTGAATTATGATCAGTGAACACATTTTAGCCCAAATAGCGATTACTTTTTCCAATTTTCCGCATTTTTTGAAGAGTAAAAGCAAGCATTTACCTCAAGGTGCTTATTCAAAAAGAAACTTACAAGGGAACCGTGTCGAGTCGAAGTGGCCTTTCCAGATGAGACCCAAACTGCTTTCAAGAGTATTAAGCGGTGATTCCAAATCTGCCAAGCGCCTCTGGACGCCGAGTTATGACTGTTCTTCGGAACGAAAAATGAATGCAGAATTTAGGTAAAATTGATTGTTGCAATCTTTCCAGCGCTCAGATAAAGCAATGCTAAGTATTAGCATAATAAATAAAATGTATCCATTGCATAAACAGCTCTGATACTTGACATTTTGCCATTTAAGCAAATTTGGACGATTTTGCTTCAGTTTTGCGTTCAATTTTTTGACCTGAAAAACGAGCATAACTCGGCGTCCAGAGGCGCTTGGCAGATTTGGAAGGCAGATTTGGAATCATCGATTAATGCTCTTCAAAGCAGTATGGGTCCCATCTGGAAAGGCCACTTCGACTCGACACGGTTCCCTTGTTAGTTGAAGGCAATGTAAGACTAACGCAAAAGAATTTGAATCTATATCTGCATCATCGTGTGAGATTATCGCACTAATCACTACACCACAGCGCACATGCTTATTGGCGTTTCCATCCTATTCCCTTGAGCGGTCAAACTTGGCGCGAAAATCCTTTATAACTCTTTAGAGAAACAAGTCGCAAAAACGGAAGTCGGGTTCGGAATCTGCATTCTAAGAAAAGTGCAAAGGTATACATGTCAACTTAAAGGACTACGGACACCGAACATCGTCCCTTTGTAAGTGATTATAAGTCAATGCGCTAGGCCATGAATAGAGGCCGGCTAGCGATAATTTGCGGCATCGCCGAGCAACCTTTGATAGTGGCTGATGGTGACGGCTATCAAGGAATGCTAGCAAATGAATGAATAAAAAAAATCAAAATATTTTGACGAAAGTTCTATAAAAGAAATGTTGGAACATAAAGAAACAAATCAAGAAATCTTTGTTTTAAGCAGTTCTTAGAAAGAAAACATAGGCAAACTCTAAAAAAAGCTCTCTTTTTGCATTTCTCGCCGCAAGCAGCTGTTCACTGATCTCCCATTTAAGCGGCCGTAATTGTGCAGTTTGAGGGAGTATTGCACTGCAACATATGTCAGCTAACTTGCCCCGTAAATTACTCACGAATTACTTACGGGAATTTTGTTTGATTCTTTTCTTTTGCACATTACCTCCCTCGATTCACCCTGGAACCTGCCCTTAGCGAAAAGGTAATTTTTTGAACTATCGTGGCAGTTAGCCGCGCGGTCTTCTGACTGTTCACTAAGTATCTTAAAGAACGGGAAAGTGGGGGGGGGGACTTAGATTTACATTAGGAAGTTCTTCCGAATGATTAATCTCAGCTTGCTGAGATAAAAGGAGTTTTACTACGGGCCTGTATTTGTTGCTGACTACTGGAATCGCGAATACTGGTTTTGTACAAGGTGCCAAATCACATGAGTGAAATCAAAAGTATCCGTCTTCATCTGATAGACAAAAAAATTCTGAATAAGACGCAATTGTGAGAAAACTTACCTGCTCTCATCAAGTTTTCTTACAGCTATTCAAGTAAATAGTCTTCAAAAGATGCTTATTGCTCTTAGGTAGACCAGACTTTGGAGCTAGATCAACTCTGACTGAAAAGCCCAGGAATGGCCACAATGGAATCAAGCGTACGAAAAGGCGGTTGTTACTAAGGCATGGCAAGAAATAAGCCGTAATTGGATTTTTTGTGGCCCGTTTAATTTTATGCGGATCACATTTGAACAATAAGTGCTAGTCCTTCAGCTCGTCTACTCCCAACCCTAAAGACGTACTCCTGATATGCTTGAAAGCAAGAAGCCTTTCAACTCACCTTCGTTCGATCTGTTGAAAAGAGTCCTAATGAGTGCCTGGTACAAAATTTTGCCAAGAGCTTTGCGGGCACGGGAAAACCTTTTTCGAAAAGAATGAATGCTTTTATCAAAGTCAGAAGCGGTTTTGCTAACGAATTGAAAATTTTTTACAGAATTTTCTTGTCTATCTTCAGATAAAAACAAAGCGTAGTGATTTTATTCATTCCTTGCACAGCAAGAAGATTTTGCGTAACTCTCTGTGAACCATCCCTAACTTGGCGTTAGTTTAGACACTTCATAAAAACTCAAACAAATTTGCTAAAGGGCCGGGCTTAGCTCCAGCGATTTCAGCGCTTCGCGATTCACCCAGCAAGACAACCGGTACAAGTTGATTGCATGCAGATCACCTTGGATTTCGGTTGTGATAGTTTGCCGACGCGACTAAACGAGACTGAAATGCAAAATGGTCAGCATGGGGTGAACTCATAACGGTTGTTTTGGGGGTCGCGAGGCGATAAAATCGCGTGATGTATGTTAGCCCTCAACTTTGCGAGCGCTTCATTTGATATTGGGATGAATGAAAAGGCAAAACATGAAGGTTTTTCGGAAACTTCGACGTCAAGTGCAGCGCAGTTTGGATTTCGAAATGCAGAACTCTCGATGACTTCGCTATCGCAAGAGAAGTAAATATTCG